TGTGAGCAGCTGAAAACCCACAACTGGGCCTAGAGCCCCACGGTGCTTCTTCATCCAGGAACTCCACACACCAAAAGCATTACACTTCTCCAATCCATGAGCTGTTTTGTTGCTTCCATTACTGTTCCAAATGAGAATTAGACACAACATGTGCTTAATTCAGGCTGTGAGTTGAGCTGGCAAAAATCTAAGCTTATATCCAAGCTGTGCAAAGAGCTGAGGGGTTTGTTTCCACCCATTTGGTGAAGGAACAGGCACTGAGACATCCCAGCCTCACACTGCCCCAACACCCCCCGCAGCACCCCGGTGGCCCTGCGCTGCTCCCCAGCTCTGAGCACGCAGAGACAGGGATTAGATGTTGTATGAGACTGCTGAGGATGCCAGTACCAAAATGCCCATCTACATCTGCTCTGTTCATCATGTAAACAATTAGAACTGAGGACATAAACCAGTTGTCCCCCAGTTTGGCATCCTGTCACGATGCTGACTAACGCACAGCCTTTCTGAGTGCACAGAACTGTTGTGGGTAACTGAGGACAGGAAGGTTCTGCTGCACTCCTCTCTTCCAGTTAATGGACTGTTACTATCTCCTTACACAGACCTGCTTCACTCTTCGCATGCCACCAGGTAACTGTGCAAATGGTTTCTAAACTCATGAAACTCAGTTGGAGCAGTGCTGGGCACTGATTTCATTGTTTCGAGAGATTAACTTGGCACTTCCCATTTCTTTATCAGTCATCTTCCTACATCTCTCTCTGATGCTGCCCTTGTTCTTCCCCTGTGATCCCTGGATTCACCCCAGACTGATTGCCTTGTTTGTGGTTTGTGGAAGGACGGGGCAGCTCTTGCCATACAAAACCTATTTGGCCACCTCAGCAGTGCTGCCAGACAGCAACCTAATTCATGGGCTCCAAAAACAGCAAAATGATTGCCATGACTCAACTACTCCTCCTTTCAAAGCTGGAAGAGGTGGTGTTAAACGCAAGGCCAGCTTGCAAAGAGCACATTCAACCACTGCACCAGTGGGACACTTGTGCTGTTTTATGGGATGGGCAGACACTGGAAACATTCAATTCTTTATGGCTCAGGTGACTTTCTCTCCACTCAGGTTTATTACGGTCCACTAAAACCAAAGAACAAGACATTACTTGCACTTGCCAACAGACCAAGCCTTGAAGCAGAAAACAAAAGCAGACTTAATTGAAGACTTGAGCTGGTGCCACGCTCTGATTACTGCAGCGTAAGGTCTCCTCGTCCACCGTGCTGCTCCACATGGTCTGGCTGAGCAGCTCCAGTCAAGGACCCCTGGAGCTCTGGGTCTGAATGGGAGGAGGGGGTAACATCTCAAGAGCTCTGTGGTGTGGTGCAGGACCCTGCACACCTGAGAGAGCAGTGACGCAAGGTGCTGGTGCCACCACAGGGACATTGGCCTCTTCAACAAACAGCTGCAGTTAAAACATAGCAGCCAAGAACATCGAAAGGCACCACTTGGAAAGATACCAGTACTTTCAGCTAAACGCATTTTCTAAGGCTGAAAAACACTCAAATAGGAAGGACAAAGATAGTAAGCTGATTTGGCCTAAGACTGTCCATCTCCCTTGAGCTCAGCACAAAGGGATCCCACAGACACACAATACCAGGAAGGAATATACATTCAAGTCACATTTGAAGGCAGTTGAATAACAGGAAACACTCTGCTGCATAGTGAGTGATTGCAAACACACAGTTTCCTGCTGGTCCATGTACCTTCACAGACCTCAGTGTGTACACACTCAGGGATCACGAGGGAAGGACAAAGGCAACATCACAAAGAGATGTAGAAAGAGAGAGAAACAGGGAACTGGAGGTGCCAAGTTATTGGGAATGAAAACTATTTAGTCCAGCTTCCTGCAGAGCACAGACCATCAAATGTCCCATATGGTGCATCACAGCAGTGTCTGTGGCTGTGCCATGCCAGAGACCATCTGTCATGACTAAGGTGGTGACTCTCCAAATCATAAACCACCTCAAAAAATGCAGGTATGTAGAACAGTTTCTGCACACATGCAATATGCTCAGTACGTTACTGACAAGAAGTGCTACAATATTCCTTAGGTCCAAACTTCTGAGTGGTGGTTTTAGCAAATTCACCTTTAGCAGCCACTTAGAAACAATCCCTTTGCATTGCCATCATCTCTTATCATCAGGCCAAATGATACCCTCAAATCAGTTGAGTTTGTGTGAACTTACAAGCACAACGACCAGCAGAGATCAGCAAAAGATTGACTTTTACTGCAAACCTAACAGTAAATTCTACCCCAGCACTCATGTTCACATGCCTGTCCACTCTGCCCAGCGCCTGCAGCTGATTCCCCTGGATCCTACCCTGTCCACTGAGAGCACCCACCCATCTTGCTCCTTGTCAACAGGACAACAGAGCCCTGTTGTCACCCGATTTTTGCTCCACCAGTTGCATTTCTCTTCCCAGGGATGCTCACCACACCACCAGCACTTTGTGTGCAGCAGCATGTACAACTGCCATCTGTCCAGCTGGCACTTCTTCAAAAAGTATTTAAATATCTGTGGGACTTATAAAAGTGTAAATGAAACATGACAAAAACCGTAACACAACATAATGTACGCCTGCAGTGAGGGCGCATCAGCAAGTTCACAATGGGAAAACCCCTGCACGAGCACTGCACAATCCCCTGCCCATCCGTGAAGCCCCCTCCATACCCAGTGGCTCCAGAGCCAGCCTGCTCCCACCTGCAACGGCAGCTGCTGGCTGCAAAGCTTCTTCACTGACTTTAAATCAGACCCGTCCCTGTCCTGTGCCAGCACCAGGTGTGTGCACTGCTTTTACCATGTAAAAAGCATCCTTCAAACTTGCATCTGAGCCATTTCCCTAATTTAATAGGAGCTGCAAGAGGCACTTCCTCTGGTCTTGTCAAGGCACAACTTCTCTTTGGACAACACACAAGAAAACAGTGCAAGTAAACCAAGAATCATGTCCTGTAGGTCTAGTCTGAAAACATACGAAACAAATCTTGCACATCATTCTTCATAACCAGCACTCCTCCTGCTTCTACCCATACAGCCCATGGTACTTTCAACTTCTCAACAGCAGGGATTCTCAGAAGTCCCACTTGAGGGAGCAGGAGGTGGTGGCACAAGAGCTAACGCAGATGGATGCTGAAGGCCCATTATTCTCCATCACCTTAAAGCTTTCCAGGTAGGTTTCTCAGCCCTCACCCTTAGGGATGACTTTCCTTTGCCACACTCAGACTGTGTTAGCACTTCCAACACAGGTCAGGTATTTCTCTTTAAGGCATTTAAACCACAACTGTGAACCAGTATTAGAGGGGACTCTGCTGTCAGCCAAAGCTGCTTGCAAAGAGGGTTGGGGGGGGGGGGGGGCTGTCAAGGATCTGGGCCTGAAAGGCTGTGAGCAGAAACACAAGGTCCTTTTCTCTGTCTGCCACAGCTGCAAATCGCTTCGCATGTCCTGTAGCCGGAAATGACCTGCATTTGTCTGCTTTTGAAGCAAAACACAAGCCAAAACATCCTCCAGAAAGGAAACTGCCAACCTCCAGTAGCCAGGCACAGCGCAGCTGCTTACACGGCCTGAGATGAAACACGCACGTAACTAATGCAATGCAAGCACAAAAGTGGTAAAATTCATCCCTTGTTGCTGGCTCCAGCTAAAGACTGAACCTTTCCAGCATCACTGCACTGTTTTTTGTGAGGTGGCGAACAAGTGACATCCATCTGTGGCTCCTGTCTCTGAGTGCATTCCTAACTCAGCTCTGCTTCACAAATGTGACATCAGCCACGTGCAGAGACCTGAAACCACCAGCCCGGTCCCCATCCTCTGGAACTGAGTGGAGATGGGAAAGCCAAGTGCTGTTTGAGCAGCGTTGGCACCGCACTGGGAGGCTCAGGTCCCACTCGTGGGTCGTGCTGTGTGGGAGACACACATGAAGCAACACTCAAGCCCACAGGGCTGCTGAGAGCGTGATGTTCTGTGCAGCATGCAGAAGGGAAACAGGATCAGTCCCAATGTGGCATCCCCATTCCCTCTTTCCTCTTGGATCCAAACCTCTCTCAAGTGCTGCTCTCGCAGCCAGGTAGGTGTTTGGTCTGACACTGCTGACCAGTGCTGCCTAGCATGGGAAGGAAAAGAGGGTCCCCAGAACCACACCTGATTTTGGCTCCAGGAGACAAACCTCCACAGGTTTCACTGAAATACACAAAGACCACGGGCTGCTTCAGAACCACACGCAGTGACAAACGTGCAGCCTACTCCCACTTACATGTAGGTGCTTTAAGAATAATTATAAACTGATCAATCTCCATGTGAGGCAGCAGGAAGGAGCCTGTATGTGCAGTGAGGGGGGCAGAGCAGAGCAGAGCAGGCAGCTCTGAGGACGCCAGCAAACGGCCGTTCAGCTCTCACATTTATAAATCATTCACTTCTATCCACCTGTGCTCAGAATAACAATTTGCTGCCTGAAACCTGCGCGCTGGAGCCAGGAGGCTGCCAGGGACTCGCTTTCCTGGGACCCTCCAGACCTGTTGGGAAGGGGTCTGGGTCTCCAGAGGGATCTGCCCCTAGTGGGAAGAGGCACGGAGACACAAACACAGGAGCATCCGTTCAGCTGATCGCATTAGGTCTTCACGCCGCTGCTGCCGCCGCTTCGGTATCTGCCTCCGCAGCCACCCGTGCGGTTAGACGAGCACAGAGGCAGCGCGTTCCGGCGGCTCTGGAAACGTCTGGAGCTGCGGGAGCTGCGGAGCCGCTCCGCGGAGCAGCCGGAGGGAGAGGCTCCGCTTCCAGCGGCGGGAGCGTTATGAAACAGGAGCGTGGCGGCCGCGCCGGCGGGGGCTGAGCGCCGGCCGCTGGTGCAGGAGGCCATGGAGCGTCCCCGCACCGCCGCGGCGCAGCACCCCGGCACCCCGTGAGGCGCGGGGCCGGGCGGGGGCTCACGGGCACGGCCGCCGGAGGGACGCGGCGCGCTCGGAGGATTACGGCTGTGCGCGCTGCGAGCAGGATTAGCGGGGAGGGCAGCGGCTGCGGGAGCAGGGTTGACCGCGTTACGGCTTTCTGTGGTATTTCTGCGGGGTGTCTGGGACTTTACCTGGCTGCAGCCGGAGTGCCTCGGCCACAGCGAAAGGTGAGCATCCTTCCTCTTTTTCCTACACAGTTGCATTGTGTGTGTCTGCAAGCTGTTTGTCAGCTGGCCTTGGCACAAGTAAGAGCCAGAGAACTTTTCGCAGAGGGTGAGGCATTAGCATTCATCGCAGCCTGACCGGCGGTCTGATTTGTTAACATTTATCCATGGATCTGAGCACACGGGGCTTAGCTGCATTATTTATAAAGATTGCAGCTCGCTCTCGAGATGCCCTTCCCCGAGCAGCCACAAAACATCACACTTGAAAAGTGGGGATGGATCAGGCGAGTGTGTGTTGTGGCCCCAGCCTGGGGAGGCAGGCGAGAACGCTCGGCTCCTCCAACAGTTTCTGAAGCATCCTTGTGCTAAATAAATAGACCCCGGCAATTTTTAGTAGGTGGATGCTGCAGCATTTTGGATGCTGAGGGGTTTGTTACAGACGTTTAAATACCTACGATCTAGTTACAGAGCTGCACGGTGTTTCAATTTCAGTAGATTTCCTTGCACACAGGAAAAGATCTCCTCTCTAGCTCCTATGGGCTGAGGCAAATACCAATATAGGGTCTGCGTTTTACGACAGTCTCTTACAAAACTTCAGCCTATTGCCACAGAACCACATTGGGGGGTTGGAAATTGCAGATAAAGCCTCATTTGCTGGGTGCTGGAGTTCTTAATACCAAAGGGATGTACATTATGCATGAATGGTTTATTATTGATCAAAATACTTTCTAGGTTCAAGAATGCTGCTTGCTGATAGGTCTCAGTTTATCAGTGAATGGTGACAGCAGATTGTGTGTTACCTTTTGAGTGCAAACCTCTGTGTACAGAATGCACACATATACATGCATGTATACAGACAAAATGTAGGTATGTGTATGTCTGCCCCTTTTCCACACTGGCATGGAATCAGTTCTCCTGATTACTACTTTATCACTGAGCTAGGTAAAAAGTATGGGATCAATGGAAGAAATCCCCTATTGCTGTGGTGTGCTCGGTCACAAGCTGTCACTGGACACTTCCCAAGTCATCATGCTGTCTCACAACAACCCTTTTGGACCAGTTCCTCCTGCAGGCCCCTCTGCATCCCTCACCATAGGCAACTGCATTCACCAACACAGTTATTGACTAGATTTACACCTACCCATGCTGGAAAATTGGTCTCCAAAAAGCGGAGCATCCAGTGGAAGTGCTGCAGTGACCAAATCCACACAAGTCAGCACTGAGTCTCCAGCCTCAGGCTGCAGCTCTGCTCTGTGGCACTGCCTTTCACTTCCAAAGCTGAATTATTTATCAGCTGTAAAGCCTGGATATCATATACATTTGTAACTTCTGTATTTTCAACTTGATTTGACTAGTTTATGGACCACAGAGTTTTTCTCCATCTTTTTACTATCTATGCATAAAGATGTTTTTCTGCTTTATCGCAGTTCAACATTATTGAACAGTTTTAACACAATATCAGCATCAGAGATAACTTTGCAATCTGACTACATCTGGTAGCAAGTGCACTTGTACCCAGCAACAGGAAGCTTGCCAGGAAGCCCTCTCAAGCTGCAATGTTTGCCACTACAGCATGTAGTGAAATTGCTTCTACCTCATCTCTAGTTTGCCGGCAGACCTTAAAGTGGTGCTTAAAGTGACACTCAAAGCAGCATTGTGTCAGGAAGGAGTCACTCATGAGGGGGGCATGTGCATAGAGTCAGCACAGATCCATCCTCCAGCAAGTGAATCTCTTAAGTTGGAAGAAGTGCTTGTTGCTTCTGAAAGCCCAGAGTAAGGCCACATCTTTTGGGAGGGAAGCTGGCGTGACACATCAGAGCTTCTGTGCCGGGACAGGCTGCAGGTCCCTTCTCTAATGTCTCACCGGTCTCCTCATTACTTACTGAAAAGCCCTAGACCAAAAGCGCCATTTTGATGGAAGAGAAGTGGAGGAGTTAGTTTTTAGAAATATCTACAAACCAAGTTATTCTCTAAGTCAGACAATTGGAGGTAACTTGGGAAGAGGTAGGAAGGAACCCTTGTTCTGTATTTAAATACAAACCCTCCACAAGTTCTGCAGCAGCAGACCTGAGTGATATGGTGCACTTTGCATGGAGGATGCAGGATGAGCACTAGCAAAGCACAGGCACCAGCTCATCCTCAGCCTCACATGACTGAACTAGACATTCCTGCCTTGGAACAGAGGAGAAAAGCAACCTCAGCTTACCACATGCCTTGCAGGAAGGGCTGGGATGGGAGAACTGGAGCACAACGGAGCAGGTCCTCCCAGGCTTCCTCTGCAGGGTTATCCAAGCAGGAATGCCTGCCCAGGGTGCTTCTACCTCTCCACCTCAAGCCAAACACTCTGGGAAGGTTGGGCGGCTGGATTCTAGATGGGTCCCACATGAGCACTGCATTGTAACTGCCAGAAAGGTCAACGAGCAGGTTATATTCCATAGGCCTTATCTCATTGTAAAGTACACATTTAAGTTGGTGAAGGGAATCTGTATAACTCTTAATGTACCTCTTCATCAAATATTTCCTCTCTTTTTTGGTAAAAGAATATCCTACAAAGGGCAATGGAATTACAAACTCACCTCTTATTCTTCCCTTTGCATGAATTCCTGAATTATAGTTAAGTTAGTGAGATGATTTCACATGACACTTCCTTAAGGAGCTAGAAAAAGTAACAATGGACCTTAACCGAAATCCATCCGAATCAACCTATATCTGAGTGGGTTTTGGCTTAAGACTGGAGAACTAGGATGTTTTTTCTAAGCTGTACTTCTAGCATGTGTTGCTTTCCACACAAGCGAACTTCTCTGTCAGTTCCACCCGAGGCATGAGGGGAGAGCTCAGCTTTTTAAACCCCTTTCTCAAAATTCAGGAGACTGTTCTGGCCACATGTGAAAGCACCACAGGTTCTGAGTGCTTTTAGCGATGGGAACAAGGCGAGCTGCGAACATCTGACAGCATCCCAACGCTCAATCTGCAGCTTCTCCAGAGTTTTTCTGCCTACGTGCTTTCACGCAGAGTGATGCTGGCCTTGACTTTCCAAACAGCCTCAAGAAACTGGGTGCGTGTATCCAAAAGAAAGGCCACAAGCCAGACTCCTGCTATGTCCCAACTGACTCCATTTGTCCTCAAAGACAGCTGATGAAAGGAAGGAGAAATGTGGAAGAGGGATGGCTTTTTCTAAACCCGGTGCTCAGGAGTCCAATTCCCTTCCGTTTACAACAGCAAACACAGCTTTGCTTCTGAGCCAAGGCATCGGAATCTGCAAAATCCTGCTGGTCTTTAGACAAGATCAGCTGTTGATGAGCTGGAGCATCAATGCAGTACTGACCCAAGAATATGCATTGAGCAGCCTCTCAAGGGGCAGTCTCAAATGAGCAATTCCTTCACCTGCAAGTTGGGGCTGTTCTTTAGTGTCTTCAGACTTCCTCAGCCTTTGTAGCATCACTGAAAGCATTCAGCCTTCCCTTAAAAATTCCATAACTATTCCTGCAGCTAGGAGAGTAGAATTGCCAAGAACTTTACAAATTTTCCTCTATTTCTCTTTACAAATATAGCAATAAGTACAGGTATAAATCTGGTGTTATATATGTAATGCAAGAAAAATAAGGATTAAAAGAAAACCAGCCCTGAAAATGGGAGACACCTCGGGTCTGGCAGCCAATCCTGTCTGTGTGCTTCCCAACACCGTGCATGTCCTCACCAGGGCACCAGGGGAAGGGAACACTGACTGCACAGTGTTCCGAAACAGGCAGCACATGCAGACAGGTCCCCCCTCTGCCTCCTGCCAAAGAGCTCCCCACAGCCATGTCAGTGGCTCCCTACCTGCTAACCACATCCTTGCTATGAAATACTGGTAGAGCTCGGCAGGATCCATTACCCCTCACCAGGCACAGCCGCTGCTGCTGCCGGGCACACTCAGGAGCTGGGGCTACATGCCAGCCAGAGCCCATTGCAGAGGATGCCACCGCAGTCCCCTCAAGGCCTGCTGCCCCTGCCGCCCCACTGCTCTGGGTAGGGCCCCGCAGGAACAGGTCCTGAGCAATGCGGCTGCACAGAAGCAAAGCAGCTTTTCTGGGGATGCTGGTGGGAGACACCTTGACTGAGCACTGCAGGTTCGTGCAAGTCCTCTGGGAGAGCATCCCTCACACTGCACCAGCACTGACTGAACAAACACCCACCCGCAGCACTGCCCAGGAGGGTCCCCCAGTGTGGGGACAGGGCTCCAAAACCAGGCTACAGCTGCAAAGCCACTGGTGATCAGGTCACACCAGATCTAGAGGGATCCCTCTTGTAAGATGTTGGCTGCCCCAGGGACAAACACAGCATTGCCCAGTTTAGGAAACAGATGGGAACAGATTCATAGTGTGAGACTGGGATTTCAGGCAAGATGCATTTCTCAGCACTGCGTTCAGTCCTGCTGACACATACAGGGAAAAAAACCCTCAAAACTACTTTTGTCTAATGACATTTCCAGCCACAAACACCTCGAAATGCTGTTCAAACAACTGCATGGTTATCTGACTTCTGAACAGTCAAAAATTCACCTGTCACCTGTAAAGCGAATAGATCGGTATTTCATAAAATCAGATCACTCAAGGCTCTTCTGAACCCCATCAAGTTCATGCCCTCAATAACCGGATAATCCCCCATTTTAAAAAAATCATAGGCACCAGACACACAAGGGCTGGTGACCCACACGAGGGGTCCTTTCCTTGCTGAAGGCTCAGCACCACTGCAGCATTAACCCTTTCACTGTTCTGTCCACCCAGAGGTCCTCTCCGCTGTTTATCAGTTCTCATTTCCCATCTCAAATCCTTTCAATTACTGTTTTATGATTTCACTGACGAGCTCAACTCTCAATTAATATGGTCCTAAAAGCCCTTTGGCTGGAAGAACTGATAAATAGGAACAGAAGACTCTTAATTTTCCTCCATTTCACTTCATTTTAAAATGAAACATGTATGAAAAAGACAAATGATACATTTTCTATTACCAGACACTAGTTCATATCCTCCTTACTCTTTCCTTTTTAATATCATCATCAAAAGTGATGTACTTCAATTCTTTTAGGCATACTTTGATGATACTGCAATAATCAGTTTATAGAAAATTCAAATGACATTTCTTTATGTCAGCAGCACTCTGCTATTTCCCCACTAAAAAGCAACGTTTAATTTCCGAGTTGCACATTTGCAGCAGTTGCTGTGGGCGGAGAGTCTGCTTATTTATTTGCTTGGGTTTTACTACAATGTACTGTCATGGCAACTGTACTGAGGGCGAATGCATCTGGAGGTAATTTATATATGTCACATTGACTGCAGTGGCGCTGGCTCGTACCATTTAAACTTTCTCAGGCACTGGGCAAGGGCAGCATTAGCCCTGTGAGACCCAGAAGCAGCTGCCCTTAGTAACTAACTAGATAATTAAGCCATGCAGAGCGACAGGAGCAGTGCCAGATGATGCTTGGTGCTTGGAAGCAGAGCTTGCTGCATACTTCAGCCCGGGCCAGTGTCTCGGGCAGCGACTCTCGCTCTGCTGGGGCACAGCAGGTTTTCACCCTGCTCATGTGGGAGGCAGCACATCGCGCCCTGCACGGGCACCTTTGGGTAGGCGGTGCCCAGACCCGGCAGGGGATGATGCAGCTTCCCCCGTTCCACATCACTGCAAACGTGGAGAAACTCGACTGAAAGCTGCTGAAAACTCAAGCCCACAGTGCATTAAAAGGGACTAAATTGGGGCAGTGCTGCAGTTTCCTCATCATGTGCCTGACCTCCGCCACATGGCTTTGATGGTCCCTCTCCAGCCAAGCCACCACTCGGCATCGCTGATGAGAGGCTCCCGCTGCCGCAGCACTGCCTTAATGCAAATGGCTTGGACACACTTGGGAACTTTGGCTCCAAGTGTTTCTTGATATTGTACCTCGCTCACTTTGTGGGTAAACCAAAAGAGCTGCGAAACCCTGAATTACAGCTGGGAAAGGATGACTGCGAGGCTGATGAATTTATCAGGCCTCACCTTGCTGCTAGGGGGAAATCTTCAACCTTTTGAATACCTGTGTGATTGCAGCCATTACCATCTCCCCGGAGGCTTTGCAGCAGTGTTTCCTTGGGCGCCATCCCTTTGCACTGTAGATGTGCTCAATGCAAGCAGTGTGCGGCTGCCTCCTCCACTGGCTAAGCCTCACCTCAGAATCCTGCGGGATGCAGGGAGCAGCAGTTTCCCTGCCAGAATCCCAAATGGCCAACACACACACACATCTTTTACATTAGACAGCCTGTTTTGGGCATAGCTCAGGTTTGCAGTAGCCCCATGTTAGGAACAACGAGTGAATCAAACCATACCTATGCTTATAGACTGTATTTCTGCAGATAAATTAAAGCAGTAACAATCTGCAGTATCTAATTATGGCCAATCTGCCTTTCATCTGCCTGGGTACTTGTGACCCCTTTACTGTAATTCTTGAGCGCTCACAACGTTGATCAGAGATTTTCAATAATTTAACTTTAAGGGTCAGCTCCTCAGCTGTGTAAATCAATGCATTTTCCTTGGCTCTGGAGCTGAGCAGAAGGGAGGGCTCTTTCCTGGTACGGCTGAGAAACTGGTCTTCAGGTACTGCAGCAGTTTTGGCTTGGAAGTTCTGAGCTTTGGTTATGGTCACTGCTTAAGGCAGAAAGAAGTTGCAAAACTAAATGAAAAAGAAGGGAGAAGGGAATGGGTGGAGACTTGGTGCCTCTGTTTAAGAAAGAGGCATCAGCAAACATCCACAGAATTGAACTCAGATACACAGTGAAACAAGACACACAGTGAGCAGCTGCTCCTCTGCCAGGACTGTGGATATCAAGAGCGTGCCCCAAGTGCCAGTTAAGCAAAAGCCATAATATTTTCTTTCCTGGAAAACACTGCATCTTTTCTCAGCACTTGTCTGGCTCCACAGAGAGGCGACTGACAGGGAAAACAGGAACTTATGGGGAGATGCCAGCTTTTATTTGCTACAGGAGGTTAAAGGTTCCCTGAAGCACAAAGGAGCTTTTCTTGCCCAGACAATCCCATCGCGGTGCACATCAGCACAACTGAAGCCTGCGAAGCTCAGAGCAGTCAGGAGAGATCTGGTGAAACTTGAAAGGAAATTTTTCCAAACATTCCCTGGCTTTTACCCACACTTCCCTGTTCGGCCACAGCACAGAAACCCGCTGAAAACCAGCCGTATCCCCGGTGTCTGTTAAAGTGACAAGCTCAGCCCTGCGGCAATCCCCAAACCCCTTCCAGCACAAAGCCTGACTTTATTGTGCTGCGCAGAGATTAATAATTCTTATAATATCTATTGTGAGTTGATGCAATGTCTCCCACCCACCCCGCCCCCCCCACTGCTGTTTCCTTCTGATCTGCATGTGTAGCTTAGCTACTTATAGCTGAAAGGAAGGAATCTGATAATACCTTCCTAAAAAGGTGCCCGTACTACGGCTGCCTGTTCCCGTGACCGAGAATGGAGATGTTGGCTATTGGCAAAAGAAAAGAACTTTTTTCCCAACATCCCAAGAGAATTAACCTCATCATTGAGGTATTTCTTGTGCATTCCAAATTAAAAGAAAACAAAAAAAAGGAGGGGGGAAAAAAAGCTGAGGATCTGAAACCAGCTTCTGCTTAATCAATCATTCCCATTGGATTGTTGCTTTTAAAGCGCATCATTACAAACAACAGATGGAGGAGCAGCTAGAACAAGGGCGGGTGGGGGACTGTCACCCTGGTGATGGGCATTTTCTGCTCGGATGGAACCAACCTCCCCGCTGCCGTTTCAGGTCTGAGCGGCGGCTGCTGGGCAGCTCCTGGAGCACAACGATGGCTTCACCCCGGGCACCTGCAGAGCCCCTCGGCCCGGCGGGCGCCTGAGCCCGGCCCCAGGCTGCTCCCTGCGCTGCGGGAAGAAGGCTTTTCCCTGGGAGAAGGCACCTTAGCGATGGGCTGAACTTACGGGAGGAACCAGCGCCCGGCCAGGCGGAGATTGAGGGGCCCGTCGGGAGGCGTGAAGGGCCTGGTTTCAGTAAGGGCATGGCCAAAGCTTTCTTCAGGCTACAGAAGTTTCTCCGTCGGACCCAGTTTCTGCTCCTCTTCCTCACAGCGGCTTACCTGATGGCCGGCAGCCTCCTGCTGCTGCAGCGGACCCGCCTCATTATCCAGCAAGGCTCTCGTGGGACCTCCGCCAGCCAGGCCCTGGCATTGCTGGACGGGATGGCCGGGGCCGGGATCGTGGACCCGCGCCCCGCTCCCAGGCTGCTGGTGGGCATGGACGCGCTGCAGGATGCGGCCCCGGGCCAGCAGCACAGCCCGCGGTGGCTCGTGTCCCGCAACTCCGAGCTCAGGCAGCTGAGACGAAGGTGGTTTCACAGGTTTATCAGCGACCAGGAGCCCATGCAGACAGCGGGGTTCAGAGCGATGAAGCACACTGCTGAACACACAGGTAAGGATGCACCCTGCCCCTGCGCTCATGGACCGCTCCTCTTCCTGTTCCAGCGCTTCATCACCCTTTCGGCAAACAAATTGTTCCTCAGCTCCATCTAAACCTGCCCTGGTGCAGCTTGAGGCTGTTTCCTCTTGTCCCATCCCTTGTTCCTTGGGAGCAGAGCCCAGCCACTCCTGGCTCCGTCCTCCTATCAGGCAGTTGCAGGGAGCCATCAGGTCCCCCCTGAGCCTTCTCTTCTCCATCTGAACCCCCCAGTCCCTCAGCCGTTCCCCATCACCCCTGTGCTCCAGGCTCTGCACCAGCTCCATTCCCTCCTATGGCCCCACTCCAGCACCTCAATGTCTCTCCTGCAGTGAGGGATCCAGAACTGGACACAGGATCCAAGGTGCAGCCTCATCAGTGCTGAGGGCTCAGGGTGGGGACCACATCTTTCCCTGCCAGGGAGGCTGTCAAGTTCCATCAGTGCATCAAATGAAAACAGGAATTTGTTAAGTAAAAAATTAACATTTTCTGTTAGGAGCGCTTCCACGTATGGGGTGTTTCATACTGCTGCCCTGGCCTGGTTATGCCATTGCACAGGATGCAGAGGGACAGGAACTGAATCACTGATATGATGTTCTGCTCTAAGACCCCGAGTCTCTCACAGGACATGATTTGGGATACCCCTGGGATCTGGTGCTGTGGGAGGGATGCAGGGAGAGCACCCTCTGGCTCCTGACATGGCTCTTGGGCCCCACACACCGAGTTCCTCTGCTGCTGGTTTGAATCCAAGGGCCCAAATCCAAAGCCCCCAGTGAAATGCAGAACATCCTCACTGTAGGCGACCCCCAGCCCACCAGCAGTGTGCTCAGGGTGTGCATCACAGCCTGTGAGCTCTCCAATTGCACGTTCACAAATTACCAATGTGCAGGTCTTTGAATCTGCTCTTGTGTCGGTAATATTTTAATGTTTGATTTGTTATTCCAGGCTCCAGAATCTCTATTAGAGTGCCTTAAAGTTTCCTTTTCTTGCAGATTATTTTATTGATAATATAATACTTTTTAGTTTTTTCATCATATATTCTCTTCCTGTCCAAGCTCATGTTGTTTAACGTTCCTGTGTTGTCATCTCAATGCTTCTAAAATCAAATTTCCTTTTTCCTTCATATTTTAATGATAAAATGTACTTATATACACACAATTGCTGTATAATAGCAGGACTCCACATCATCCTTCCAATCGTATATTAAAAATGGCCTGGATTTTTATAGTGTTTTGTTCATGACAACAAAAAAAAGGCTTCACATAGGATGCAGTCTAAGAGAAATATTTATCTTTCATATGCTAAGCAAAGCAGGACATATTTTAAGAGATTCATTTGCACCAGGGAGAAGGAGATAGTTGGATGCGATAACCAGCCAGTGCTGCCTAGTTAAGACTGAAGTTATCTTTCCATTATAGCTTTAATATAACTCTATGTACCCAAAGAAAATTGATTTTCTTAATATTTCTTTCTCATCATCTCATTATCAATGTGAGATTTTCAATAAAACTTGGGAGGAATCCAGCAAGATTTCTCCAGGTCTTTACTGCTTTGAAGAACACCTCCTCCTTCACTGCAGAGACTCACAGGGCACTGCCATGGAAGGGAGGGAGCAGGAGCTGCAGCTCGAGGTGGCCACAGCCTGGCTCTCGGCCTGCTTGAAGGAGCTGGAGGAAGGGAAAAGGCTGGTTTGCCTTCGGCTCATTTCCATTGGACACCCCTGCAATAGCACCAGTGAAGCTCAGCACCAGCAGCCAGGCCTGCAGGGTGGGCAGGTCGTGATGTGTGCCCCTGTGCAGCTTCTGGCAGCGAGTGCCGCTGGATGGATTTGTCCCTTTTCCCTGTGTCCATCCCACGCACGTTGTCCAACTCTGCTCTTGCGCACAGGTACCTACGTGGGATGCTTCAGCGATGAATCGAGGGAGAGGACGCTGAAGGGAGCTGTGTTTTATGACTTGAGAAAAATGACAGTATCCCACTGTCAGGAAGCTTGTGCCGAGAGGTGAGCAGGAACTTCTCAGGGCAAGTTTGCTCTTCTCTGAGTTTGAAATGGGAAAAGCATGCACACATTAAACACACAGCATGTGTGAAAACTGTGATTATCTCACACCTTCAGGCATGCCGTAGCTCTGCTGCCTTGCTTAAGTAGACTGTTTCACTGCTGCCTAGTCTCTTTATCATAGCACGGCTACTGACAGTAGTTTCCTGTTGTCCTGGTCAAGAACCACTGTTCTGTTAGATGGTCTCTGTGGTCTGTGGTGCATTGGAACGCACGTGGTGCCTGTCCCCAGGGCCGGCTGCGTCTCTGGAGCAGGGTGGCAGAAGCATATGCCTGCACGGGGACAGGTATGGACTCAAGAGCAGCCAGAGTGCCTGTACCAGCGGTGCCTGCGTTTGTTCCCGCAGGGCTTACACCTACGCGGGGCTGGCGTACGGAGCAGAGTGCTACTGCGGGAACAAGCTCCCCGCGACCGCCTCCAAACCCGAGGAGTGCAACAGCGAGTGCAAGGGGGAGAAGGGCTCGGCCTGCGGAGGGGTGAACCGGCTCTCGGTCTACAGGGTGGAGGAGCTGCGGGCAGGAGCCAGGCGACGTAAGTGGGTGTTTGTGTGACCGGGGGCAGGCGGCCTCTGCCAGGAGTGGTGCTGGCCCAACCTAAGCCCAGAAATGATCCAAAACAAAGGACTGCAGCAGGACAGTAATTAGATAGTGAGCAGAGGAGGATAGTAAGTAGGAGGGACACCAATCTCTTTCCTAGGCAAGAAATATCAGATCAGAGTTTTGCTCTTCCAAGAACTTCTGTCCTAGTTGTGGTTGGGATTTCTGTTTCATCTTGAGATGACAGCGCTTACCCTACTTGTCATTCAGTCAGGTACTGTGGGAGATACAGCAGATAAACCTTTGGGCCAGCACAAAGCACATAAAATACCTAACAGCTGAGCTGTCTTTACTTTTGGCAAGCTCACAAGATCTTACTATGTTATTTGCTGAGAAGAAGCACCAAGACCTTAGGTTGTGCCACTATTGATGGTACTTCATTTCTTCTTAAAGACAAGTCAAGGTTTGTACAATAATCCACCCAGCTACATATAAATTATATATCAAAGGTACATAGACCTAAATTGCTCATGTCAGGCTGACAGGCACATTGGCAGGTTTCCCAGGACATGCATCACTGTTTAAATCTTAAGCATAAAATATATATACATCTTTCACAGAAAAAGGGTGGCATTTATTTTTCTCCTAAGTGTTAATGAATTAGTCATCAAATTAGTCTAGCCTGCAGCTAGATTTGTATTTTGGTTGCCCTTAGTAATACCTGATATTTGACTGTTTGAAGAATCCCACTGACAAGCCCACAAGCTAGCTGAGAGGCCAACAGAAGCATTAATCACAATGAACAAGCACACTGGGAGGTAACTCTGACACCATCACAGCACCTGCGATGTGCACGATGCCGTGCAGAGAACAGAGCTCATGTAAGGCTCCTGCTTGCACAGAGCACATCCAGTAGCATCACCACTTAAACCTTCCCTGGGTTTGGCAGCTCCTGGCTCCATGAGCACCACAAACTGCACAGCTCCCATGCCAGGACTGTGCCCCATGTCACGTTAAATACGGGGAAGCTCAAAGCCTGAAGCTAATGCCCCTTCGCTCATGATGGAGAATCTGGGCCCTTCTGTCAGGAAATCCTTGCACAACCAAAATTCCCTTCAACACCGCATCTCTGCAGTCACCCAACACATTTCCCACATCAGTTCTAGTGAGTGCTCTTTAAGGTAGCAAGTGGGTGCAGACCAGGAGAAGACCCAAATTCCCTCCCCAGTCCTCCTTCCTCCCTGTTGAGTCATGCTAGGCAAATTCTGTCAGTAGAGTTAGCACAGAGTGATGAAATAAAAGCATTTTCCACCTTTGTAAAGCCAAAACCAAGCCCTAGGAGTCAGAGACCCACTGAACACGCAGGCTCTTTTCTAAGCAGCCACACCACACCGTTTCCTCCGTTACCATCAGTTCATCTGTGCTGATGTGCAGCCTCACTGGGGCAGGGAGTTCCCATACAGCTCTGGGTATCACCTGGTTCTGCCCAGGAACGTTGCTCTCTCAAGCAGGAGGGGATTAGTACTGCTGCTTGTAACGAGCATTAGGGCCAAACCCTGACTTCAACCACAGCAATGCAGGACACGGGGCAGTTCTGCCAAGCTCCGCGGCACTGCCGCAGGAGCAGGACAGAGCAGAGGCCGATGAAGACCTGAAGCAAGCCCTTCTCCCCCAGCAGCTCACAAAGCCTAGTTCAGATTTCCAAGGCTGCAGCAAACACCCTTGGCCTCAAAAGAAAGTGAGTGGGAAGAGAAGGGAGAGCTCAGCCGGAGCAGATGTGCAGGAAGGTGGCTCCCTGGCGGGGGCTTAGGATTCATTTAAATTCCATTCCTTTTCTGGTGCAGATCATGGGAAGCTTTGTAGATTTGTATCGGGGCTTTTAAGTCTTTCAGGGGAAAGCATGCCATGAAAAGAAGCCTGGGACCTGCAGACAATAGCAATGCCCTCCGCTGGTGGAATGCAATCTAAACCCTTTGCTGCAGCCCAGCTTTCGGTGGTTTGTACAAAGCCAAAGGCATGTGCTCCTTTCAATACCACAGGATTTGCAGCACAGTTTTCTAGTGTCTATCGTGGTTTCTCGGATTCTACAGCATTTGGAATATACAATTTATTTTATTATTTTTAGCTTCTGAACCTAATATTGTTCTTTGTGAAAGAGGCAGGATACTACGGACATTGTTTTCTCAAGAGAAACCTATTTCATATCCCTGCAGGAAGGAATGTTATCTATCGAGGATGTTTTAGAGCTCCAGCAAATTTAACAGACACCTTTCCAGCCTCTTTGATACAGCCCAATTTGACGGTGGAGATGTGCTCTGAATTTTGCTCCAAGAAAGTAAGAACAGTTCTCATTTCACATTCTTTCTTTTTGTTATTTTAAATTTTAATCTACTAAGGGAATAACAGAGATTAATGCTTTAGAGCTTTGAATTTGTAAATGAGTTTCTAAAGCACAAAGCTCATCACAGTAAATAGCCAGTGATGTATCTGGTCCAGCTGCTCTCCCAAGTGGGGCTGGTGGGACGGAAAGTCAGAGTGATGCCACTAAATACCACACACAGAAAAGCCGTTCTAAGCAAGGAGTATCAGCCATGAGGAAATTGATGCCATTTCCATGTCACACTCAAACCAAACCCAGAGCCAGATCTGATCCCAGGGGATGCCTCCGTGGCCCCAGTGGCCTCCGGAAAGCAATGGGGAGCCGCTGTGGCTCCAGGGCAGGGAGAGGCAATCCCAGCGCCCTCCTCCTGGTGCAGCCCTGAGCTCCCCACAGGCAGCAGCATGCATGGCCACAGAAAACAGGAGGATCTAATGTGAGGCATCTACACCCAGTTTTTACACCAGTATGTAACTGTGTTGGCTGGGAACGTGAGACACTCAGATAAGCACACTGAAAGCAGATGGACTGTCCTGGTACTTTAATACAAATGTGTGTATTTCCACACCAGAATTTATACCATTTTCACTATAACCTATGTAATTTAGATCTAATTTATTTTAATTAAAAATGGAACCATTGTAGAACTTCATGTCAATATATAAGGCTACCAGAAGGCAAATAAGGTCAGTTGTGTGTCAGCTTTTGGACAGAAAGCGAGGACATACCAACATCTGCTGCCCTAGGGCACTCTCTTGGCCTGAAGCAGCGCCTTTGCTCATCCTCCACACTTATCACAGAGTAAGATTGGATGTAAGAACTGAAGGAGTTTGATGGACATGGGGATCTTCACAGGAGGGAACGTTCAGCTCAGAGCAGCCTCTGCTTTGGTGGCTGTTGTGGTTGGTTCCCTTCCTCCCCATCCCATAGGGCTTATTTTTTTGTTCAGAGGAGGGTTCACTGCGTGGTCAGATTCAGCCTGCAGCCACATCCAACCTCATGCACTAAACTGAATGTTTATTACTTTGTCTTCTAGCATCACAAAACTGATTAAAACTATTAAGGCATGAACAACAAATCTTAATTAGGAGGTAAAGTGGGAAAGCTTTTCCCAGTCAACATACCCTCCATAGCAGCTCACCAATGTTTTACACATGCATGATGGGATTAGCTCTGTGCAGCCGGTTGCAGTGATTCACCCACATACCCTGTGTATTAACACACATGCACCCCCATGCATGTAAATGCGTGGATGTCAGGACATCAGGAGCAATTATATCCAAAGTTCTGCTGTTAATTTATTGTGTAATGGTGGGAAGAAATCTTGATCTTTGTGTCAGTTTGCCCACATGTAACAATTATATCAGTATTTACTTATGAAGTGCAATTGATGATTTTCAATCTGGGAGAATGGCATGAAATAGCTGGAGAAGCTCAAACACAAGGTCAGTGTTTTTTAGCACAATTGTGCCATTTTGGTGTGGGGAGATGTCTATTCTGAATTAATGAGGTAGAGCTCCTTCAAGGTTTTCTGGCCATGCAGCCAAAAAGTAAAAGCATCTGAATGACTGAAAAGGATACAAAAAAGACCACAACCAAAACAGTACCATTTCAGCCCGACTTTCAAATAGGACTTGGCTAGAGGAGATCAGCAGGATGGAGGAAACTGTCCATCTCTGTAGAACAGCTCGTGCCTTTCCAGAGCTGGAATCAATGCCTATTTGCTTGATGAAGCTTGTGTGAGAAAGCCATGAGCAAACCAGATATTCTAAAGGATTATCTGAACAGACTCCTGCAGAGAGGGCATGGAGAGGGCTGCAGAAATGATAGCATGAAGAGGAAAAGGTACTGAAGGAAGGTGAAGAAAAGGTTTGGTACCTCTCTCATTTATTCCTTCCCTAAAGTGGAGCAGGTAACACATCACCCCCGTGCCCACAGCCCTGCTGGACCCCATGGCACCCTTTGGAAAGTGACTTGGAAAGTATTCCCCTACAGGGCTGACAAGGTCTCCCTCCACTTCAGCAGCAGCAACTGCACATCCACAAGTCCAGTTATTATGCACTGATTTGTGCTTTAACTCTAGAAACCAAAAAAGGCCCTGATGTGACACTACAAGCGTTTGTCCCAATTTTGGATCCTTTCCTCACAAAATAACATGGACAGCTTCCTAGCCAGTAGCAACACACTCCTGAAATCAGGAACCCCAGTATTTCAGTGACTTTGCACACTTGGACATTACCGACCCCATGGTGCTTTTGCTTTTCCTTGTAAAGCAATACACAGAGCACAATAATTTGCTAATTTCAAAACGAGACCTGCTGGTTTGAATTCCAGATGTAGCTACGTGCCATTATTTACCCATAAACAAAAGACTCCTGGGACTTGGATCAAAATCCCAGGAGAATGTGGAATTCACGCAGAGGGTTTCCAGAGCTCCATTTAGATACTGTCATTATTTCCTTAACACAATAAACCAAGGAGCAGTGGGCCAGAGCCTCGGGCAGCGCAGGCACTCACGCTTCATTCAAGTGACCGTGCTGCCACCCCTGGGCCTGTGCGGCACTGCGCGGACCGGCGCTTCTGCAGGCGCCGGAGCACGGGGTAGCGCTTGGAGAGGTCTCTGCAAAGCCTCTCGCTCGCAGGTACCTCTGCACAGGTACATTCCTATGCCAGGCTGTGTGTGAGGGCCGGGACATTTATTAATTTCCCAAGCTGAGAAAGGCTGCTTCATCGCAAAGGGAAAATTCCCGACTGCAGGCAGAAACAGCCCTGGTTTGCTCCTGGATCAAATCTGTAGTTTCTGACAACATCGTACCTCATTTGCCAAGCAAATGCTGGCTGTTTGGGCGCACATGTGTTGTGTTTGACTCCTTATCAGAGGATGAACATGCGGAAAAGAGCAAGAGATAAGCTGCTCCGCAGTCCTGTCACACACTCCCAGGCTCCAAAAGACTTAAAAGGCAAAAAGAGTTGATATGGAAGTGGAATGGAACGCTCTGCACTTCAAGTAACCCCAAACTTCCTTCAGGTGTCCCCACAGACCTGCCCTGGGGACCCTGGAAACCCAGGGAAAAACATCCCCAGTCCCCTGGTAGAGAGGAGAGAACTGAACTTGAGGGCAGTTCCAGCGCAGAAGTAAGTGCACCTTTCCTAGTGAGACACAAGCAACCCCTGATTTCTTCAGCAAATGATCAGCACGTTTCCCTCAAAGTTCCCTAAGCTCCCATCAGCGCCAGCCCAGCCCCACTGCCACAGCACCTCCTCGGGAATTACCTCCTTGCAATGAACACTACCTGTGAGTACCGTGTGGTTGCACACCTTACACCCTGCCCACGTACCTGTCATTTGCAGCACTCAGCCTGGATTTCAGGCGAGGTTTCCCTACCTAGAAGCAAGGTAGAGCCTCCCTCCAGCAGCAGGCACCGCAGGTCCCCTCTGCCTCTTCTGGCACAGCCCCGCGCTCACCCTCAGTGGGGTCCCTCTGAACACATGTGCCAAAAATGACTTGGTACCACATTTCTAAGTGGCTTTTTCAGAAGCGTTCACAGCAGCTCTCAAAGCCTCTGCCAGCCCCTCCGTGCATGTTCAGTTTTTGCTAGCTGGGAAGAAGTCACACTGAGACATGTACTTCTTTATGGTTTTTTTCTGGTTTTAAAATGGCATTAGTCAGTGGGTCTGAATTCCCTCTTTGCTTTAATTCTTTAAGGGCAAGCTTCCTCTACACAAACTCTGGTAAAAGCTGCATAAGTCAAACCTGTTAACAGTAGAGTCCTCAGTTTGAGGGAATGCAAGTGGAAGTTTAAAAGATGATCCAATTCAAAATGGGTGAAAATAAGAACCACTTTTCCTACACTGAACTCTTGCAGATGGAATTTCATACTAGAGGCTACAGGACTATTATAAAATTATGGCTTATGAATAATTAAGAAAATCAGAATATTTTGACTTCTCATGCTTTACGAGGTTTGTGTCTGAGAACCACTCTTAAAGCAATTGCAATATGAAAAGCACTAGAAGCATAAGACACATGAGCTTAACAACGATATATCAAACATCGCTTTGATCTTGACAGTGGCCTTGTGAAGATGTATTTCTCTTTGCATAGCAGCAGCATTCCCCACGGGCTGTTGATGTGGCATTTACACACTGCTCTGTTTTCCCCCTTCTGCAGGAGTTTCCCTTGGCAGTGCTCCGAGCACGGGAGTGCTACTGCGGCTACGCCACCGGGCGCTTCTCGCTGCACAACGGGGCAGATGCGCTGCTCTGCAGCGGACTGCACAACGCCAGCAGCACGGCCAAGGGACAGTACTGCCTGGTCTATCAGACCCCAGTGCAAGGTAGGAGCACCCACCCCACCGGGGCAGCCAGTGCTGCTGGGCATGGCCCCTGCACCCCTCAGCAGTGGTAGGGCTGATCTCCGTTCAGAGGCTCGTTGAGGAATGGAGAGCATAATGCATAGTTCATAATTTATTTCCTGGCTTCTTGTTGAATCGTCAGAGGGTCAGGACTGGCTCTCGTCCTACCCTTGCTTCTGGGGGCAGGCTAAGAAATAAGGCTTTACAAAATAAAGAAATAAGGATTTACAAAAGCATGGTAGGCTGTCATAAAGTACCTCTAAAGTATGGAGACCAGTGCCCAGCCCCCATGGAGATGGACACAATAGGGCTCATCACTACCTTGGACCCTTCGGAGAGGACAAAGAGAGACAGGACATTAGGAGACACAGCTAGAGGTTTAACTGAAGCAGCTCCTTCCAGTGGGAGGGGTTTCTCCTGCGTTATAAAACTGCAGTTTCCAGGTGTAATGGCATATTCAGGTTTCATTGAAAAGCCAACCTGCCAGGCAAATAGCCCCTAACAAACAGGCATCAAGGGGCTTTTATCACAACTTGCTGGCAAGTACAATGGGTTGCCGCAGCTCTTTCAAAAAAGCATTGCCTAACACAAAACCAGCAAAACCTCTTCCGAGGATAATCTCTCTGGCCTCTCACGGCTGAATTAATTTGGGGAAGTAGCTGACTCACAACCGGACTCAAATTGATATCCTATATTTGCAAGAGAGAAAAGAAAGAAGCAATAAACGCCGTAATCAAGAGCTGTCAGGGAAATTATTAAAAAGCCACAGTGCTAACAATGAAATATCTTCTGTACTCGCAGACACCCGCTGCACCGACAGGAAATTCTTAACCACCAAATCCAAAGTGTTTGTTGCTTTGTCGAGCTTTCCTGGGGCTGGGAATACGTGGGCTCGCCATTTGATAGAGCATGCCACAGGATACTACACGGGAAGCTATTACTTCGATGGAGCCCTGTACAACAAAGGTACTGTGTCCCCAGGGATGGGGCACACAAAGCCCCTCTGAGGCACGGAGCTTTGCTTGCTCTGGCATCCTCCTGCTGGGACCCAGCGGGTGCTGCCCTGCTGAGCACACTGGCAGAATTCAAACCCGTGCCTGGAGCGAGGCATCGCTCACGGTGCTGGCAGCAGTAGGGGTGGCTCCAACAGCTCCACAGGCAGCTGCTTTCACAGACCACAGCCAAAATGTGCAGGTCACCTGCACTGGTGCTGCTGAGCACACACACGTGCACAGCTCCCATCTGAAAGACTGGTCCAAAAGACCAGCTGACTAAAATGCCAACTAAACCGAGCCTTGTGTAGCACAGGAAACAGCATTTTAAAGTGTTCCTGACTGTGCTGGCAGGGCAGCAACCTGCATGGGCACGATAATCAGCAAGCACGAGCAGTGGCCCTGTGCAAAGCAGCCCCTGTGCAGTGAGGTGCTGCCTGCTTCTCCCCAGCGGAGGAAAGCCATGCTCCCACGCACACCCAGCTCAGACATGGGTTTGACAGGCTGGTCCTCCCACTGCAGTTTTACACCACTGTAGAGAGTAATTTAGCATGTGAAAGGTACAGGCACATCATCAAGGGGAAAAGCCAACAATCCTGTCTTGTAAAACAGGTTTTAAAGGAGAAAAAGACCACTGGAGGAGTAGAAGGACCATCTGTGTGAAAACACACGAGAGTGGCAAGACAGAGATTGAAATGTTCGACTCAGCGATCCTGCTGATCCGGAACCCATACAAGTCTCTGATGGCGGAGTTCAACAGGAAGTATGCGGGGCACCTGGGCTACGCCACCGACCGCAACTGGAAAAGCAAAGGTAAAACATCACCCCGGGGGGGCACTGCTGCTTCGGACACAGCTTCAAACCCAGCACACTGGGGAGAGGGAGCTCACCGGGACCAAGCGAGCCCTGCAAACAGTGGGACTCGAGTCCCACCGCAGCCGAGCGTAGTCCCCAGAGTGCTCGGACCTGCACTTGGGGAGTGCCTGGGGTCTCGCTGCACATCCAGCACCAAACCTGTGCCCACAGGCGTGCAGCAGCACTGCTGCCATCGTGCTGTTTGGCAGAGAAAACATGTCCACGTCCAACATCCCTGCGTACAGCCCATTTGCCAAGCTATGCGAGATGAAGAGCATTTGCCCCTGCAGCATGTAATAAACATGAGAAGTCTTATTTAAGATTGGAGGATTCAATGGAGCATGACATTTCCTGAAGGAAATTTTACAGCGCTGCACAGGTGCTACGGCACTGCAGATAAAGAAGGATAATAGCAATAAGGGGACTTGAGATTCAGTGTTCCTTGAACACACAAAAAGAGTTCAGAATATGCCTGCCACGCTTCATGCGTTTGACTGGCAAGCTGATAGTGTGACTGTGATTTCCCCACTGAACACACTGCTGCATTCAGACAGCAGCAGAGGAGGGATTCCACTTGCATATCTCCTCATGCATATTTTAGGCATTACAGCTGTGCCTTGGCAAGCCGCACAGCACAGGGCTGAGGGAGGCTGGGGAAGTGTTCTCTCTCACAGCACATTTCTTTCCCAAGATCATGTATTACCTTTCATCAGTCACAACTCAAAACCTATTCATCAAACCCAGACAAAACAGCCCTTAGTAAAAAGTCCAGAGGGAATGGCTTTCCCATAACAATTTGTAGTTTGCTGTACATTTCAGCCACAAGTGCTCTTTGTCCAGCCCAAAAGCTTTAGCTAGGACTACTAGATTATCATAAACAGCAAATAGAGACTGAGGTGTCATTAATGGTAGGCAGAGGTAGGAAAATCACTCGGTAAATCCTGTCCCTGTGATCGTGGTGGGCGACCCGAGGTCCCTCCCATGTGCCGGGCACAGGTGAATCTTCCGAATGCATCCTATTCCCCAGTGCACGCCCATCCAGCACCACCAGACCGTGCCCAGCAACGCCAGTCCTGCTGCGCAGGTAAGGCTGGGAACGCGGCTGCCGCGCAGCATGGCTAACGCTGTCTCCTCTCCCTGGTTTCCCGGTGCGCAGAGTGGCCGGATTTCGTGAACAGCTACGCGTCCTGGTGGGCCTCCCACGTCCTGGACTGGCTCAAGTACGGGAAGCGCCTGCTCGTCATCCACTACGAGGACCTGAAGCAGAGCCTCATCCCCAAGCTGAAGGAAATGGTGGAGTTCCTGAACATGACGGTGACAGAGGACAGACTGCTCTGTGTGGAGAACAACAGGGAAGGGAACTTCAAGCGGTCTGGTGCTAAGCAAAAGGATTTTGAGCCATTCACACAGGAAATGAAAGATCTTATCAACAGGTACATCCTGACAGTGGACGAAGCCCTGAGGGGAAGAAACTTCACAGGGCTGCCCAGAGAGTACCTGCCGAGATGATGACCTGGTGGTGCTCAGTGCTGAGCTTACAAACAACATTATTTTTCTCAAAAATACAAAGCTAAAACAACCCCACAAAAATAGTAATAAAACAGGAACAGAGCTTGATAGCCGTTAAAGATACTTGTGGAGCCTGCTGAGCAGTGCAAATTCTCCCACTCAAGGGTGTTCTTCAGAGCACTAAGTGCTCCAGAAGGCAAGCAATGAAGGATGGAAATTGGGTTATAAACCAGGGCGAAAAGCTTTTAGTGTCTACCTGCGTGTGCCCCTCCTGCACCAGCAGCTCAGAACCTCACCGGGAGCACCCCTGCTTCTGCTGCGGGCATCCTGCCAGGGGCCACGTGGGCTCCTACAGCACCGCATGGGACAGGGATGCATGGAAAGGGGGAGGGAAAAGGCACCTGGACACTGATGGACGGTTCCATCGGAGCAGTTAAGGAGGTCACCTTCTTCCAGTCCAGCCCACGAGCTTCCCCCCGGGGTTTGCTGGTTGGGTCACCTGCCACGGCAGAGGCAGAGGTGCAGGGGGAGAAAGTGTCCATGTGCTGGGCAGGGGGGCTTCAGGACCCACCCCAGGCTCCCCTGCATGGCCAGGGCCATGTGAGCCCCACAGGGAGGTGGCAGCCGCAGTGTGCCCCCGTGAAGAGGGGACCCGGGACCTGCAGGACAGAACCTCAGCATGGCCAGAGGTGGGCTGGGTATTGCCGGTCCCAGAGAGACCCCAGGGGCATGGATGAGGCCTCGGAGGGGTGGCAGAGGAGGGATTGTGCCCGTGCTGGAGGCTCAGCACAGGTTTCAGCACCTCCATCTCTGTCACCAGAGCCACAGTGAGCCTGCGACAGCCATGTGTGGTTGATCTGTGGTCCCCTGTGGTTCACTTCACCCTGTGCTGTGCTGCAGCAGAGGTTGGCAGATTGGATGCCTGCAGGCAGCTGCCACCGGAGCGGCTCGGAGATGGTGAAACCACGCAGCTGGAGAGGCTGCCCTGCTGCGAGATGCTTCTGTTCGTGTGAAATAAAGGATTCCTTGAAAACTTGAGTGAAAATACTAGTTTTAATAAAGCAACAAGTTTCTATAAAGGGAGCTGGGCTTCCTCTGCGTGTGTATCATTGGTGCTTTGACCATCCATTCATTTCTTCTAATGTTCATTCAGAACAGAGAGGGACAAGACCTTGTGCAAACTGAGCCAGTACAGATGCTGGACCAAATTTTACTGCGACGCCTCTGCTTCTTACCAGGTCAGGAGTGAGACTAGCAATAGCTCTGCTAAAATCAGCCAAATGAAGTTGCATTTGGGACTGTCAGTTGGTGAATGTTCAGTTTTACTGAATTATTTCTCCCCCTGCATCCATGTTAATGAAACATAGGGGCAGATGGAGAAAACTACTAAAGAATAAAAACACTTCCCTGTGAGGCAGGTTTCCTACACTCAACAAGCTCTGCGCTTATCACACTGAGCTTTAATTAAGCAGGATGTTTTAGTCAAAAGAAAGAAGCTATCATGTCATTAAAAGCCATGTTGATGTTCACTCCACTCACATTTCCCTTATTTTGTACCCAACAGCAGCATATTAGAAACAGGAACATGCGTGCAATGCCCTCAAGCTGTCAGTTTTCTCCAGGAAGTTAAAGCGATGATGAGTCATGAGCAGAACAAGAAGGAAGCAGAGAAGCTGCATTTGGAAAGAGAAGAGTTTAACATTTGAATTTTCCAAAGGGAACAAGGCTGAAGTCCCGGAAAACTTTTACATGTAGGTGGGAGACTTCTCCCTACAGAGAGACTGGGTCAGTGTCTCAGAGATCTACTTGATCCTGAAGTGCACTTACACTCATCTATGGGGGGGAAGAAGGTAAGCTGTAGTAGGAACAGAGGGCATAATAGGCCAGAAAATGGGTTTGCTTCCTGGAAACACTGCAAAATAAAGCCTTTACAGCAGTACTAAAGAAGCACAGACGTCATCCCCAGCCTCCATACACAGTTCACACATTCTGCACTGCTTTATTAATTTTCCATTAAACTCATTTCCACTAAAACCTATTATTCACTGCTAAGACCAAGCTACTACTCTACTACAACAACATTAACCTCCATAAAATAATTAAGGGATGGATTATCAGCATGAGACCTTACGTGCCACCTCTCTGGAACCTAATGTGTCTTTCAATGGCCTGGAATATAATGAGATGCTCAAATATAGAAAGATGAGTTACTGCTTTCCTCAGTTGCAGCATTTATTCAGCCAGAAAGACCCAACTTCTCAACTGCATTACTTATAATTTACTTTTGACCCCGGTAGTTATGAGCAATCTTTAAGGAACCAGCCCTTTGAATCTCCTTTTTATATTGGCATTTAATTACTCCAACAGATTTCCAGATGTACAAATTGTAATGGACTCTAAATCAGCTCTTCCCCTTTGAACCACAGCCTCTCATAGGAAGGCATTTTTTACCCTTCTTCATACTCAGACCAGCAAACCCCTCTCTCAGCATTTGCTCCTGTTCCTTACAGCATCTATTTACCTTCAGTTACTGGTTCTCGGGTCAGCGGTTTCCCCTGTCGCAGTACTCAGCCCAGACACGGTAGCCAGGCACAACCCACAGGCCTAGCCAGGGGCACTACAATGCTATTTTGGTGACAAATACAGGAACTCACACACACCTCATCATTCATAGCTGCATAATTTTGACCAAGCCATCTGCAATAGCAGCATAGAGAAGAATGGCTGCTCTTAAGCCACATGAAATGGTGTCAAGCACTCCCATAAATGAAGAGAGATACGATTAAAGTGCATTATTAAAATGAAATGTTTAATGCAACAGTTCGGGTGGTGTGATAGGCCCAAGATTCTTAAATGAAATCAATTCTAATTGATGCTACCATTGCATCAGGCCAGTTCCTCTGCCCCACACCACAGGGCCGCATCCCTCCCCTCAGTCTGGAGCCAGCCTGTGCTCTCCCTGCCTGGGGAGGGTGGCCACAGGCACCAGGGTGGCTCCTGCCCACCTGGGGACACCAGGCGGGACTTTTCTGAGGTTCAAGGCTCACCAAAGCCTCGGCTGAGCAGCTCCAGTCCTGCTCCATGTGCCTGTTGCTGCTGCTGCCACCTTCCAGCAGTGCCACCCATGGAGCCCTAAAGCTTCCGGCAGCAGATGCAATGCAGTTGCGGGCTGTTACGGTTACTGAAAAGGAGACGCATTTTCTCCTGGGGACCATAGGGCAGAGATCTCTCAAGGTCACTTCTGCATCAGTGGGGTGGGTCAGAAGCAATCCTGCGCAGCTGGAGCGGCTCCTGCGGATACGCACTGACTGGATTACAAGCAATTATCCTGAAACCACTGCAGAGGCAGAACAAACGATCCCAGCCTTTGGATTTCTAAGATACGTCGAATGTCTGCATTAACCTATAATGCCTCTAAAATAAAGCATTAAGCACTGCCTAACAAAATCACACAGCTCATTTCATAGAAGCAAATTCGTGTCACAATGGATAAAAAAATACAGAGAGGGAAATGATTTAAAGGAAACACCTTGCTAATGACAAGAACATTTCTCTGACGAGTAGGGTTATAAAGGAGCGGTGCAAAGTAAAACTGCACCCTTCATGAAGCACCAAATACACTGGAAACGAAACCAAATCTTCCACACTGGCTTCCCCCTTAAAGTGATGCTCTGGAAAACTGCCAGGTGCTCGTAGGTATGTGTGTGTGTGACCGCACGGGCGCCTGGCACCACGACCTCAGCTCATCCAACCTCCAGTTCCTGGAGCCCACTGGGGAGCGCACAGCACCACGCAGAGCACCCAGCACCACGCAGAGCACAGCACAGCCGCCGTGCTCCCACGTGGGAGTTTGTGTGGTAGAACACTGTGCAGAACGTTTGTTTCCATCAAAACTGTATTTCTTTCATAGTCACTCATTTAAATGGATTCTGCTGTGCCTGTTTTATGCCTCTCTCCATTCCAGCAGAGGCTAAATTAAGCTTTGAAGTTCAGTGAGAAATCCTAATGGCATAAAACTTCAGTGCCATTTCCTCAACCCCAGGGAATTAAACAAAGGGGGAGAGAGAGAGGAAAGAAACCCCTCTTCTCCTTAAGTGTTTTCTACAGCTTGATTCTGAAATGACAGACTTTGAAAACAACCTTATGACCTCACTTCATGCATTATTCATATATACTAAACCATGTAAATATAGTATTCAAAGGTTAAAATAAAACTCCTTTCCTGTACAGCCTACAATTATTTAATAGTAGGACACAGCAACTTACATCATTAATATTAAACAGCAGACAGTGGAAAAAAATGACCCAAAATGAGCATGTGCTTTTCTCCTCCATATGTAACATCTACACATTGCCCAGAAAACTGGCAGGCTACAAACGTGCAGAAGGCTTTCCAGAAAGGAGGCACAAATTAAGCGCTTTAATTTTGAGTACAACTGTGTAGCTGCCAGTTTCCCCTTGACTAAGTATGGAGTCTGTCAAAATATCTATTTGCAAGGATTTTCCTGGCATGGCAATAGTCTTAGGGGATCAAGTACCAGCAGTATCTCAGTTTTCAGGAATAATAATGACAATTTAGTCCCAGTCGGATGATAAATTAAGAGCTTGTATTCAATTACTGCAACAATAAATAGGATGTACCTGGAGGGTACCCGGTATACATGAGCCTGGACTAATTTAAGCCTGTGTCCCCCAACTGCAGAACTCGTGTACAACCGCGTGCCACGGGAGAGCCTGCAGGTGCTGTGCAGTTCAGACAAATCCTTGCCCAAGGAGCAGGTCTGCCGATGGAGAAATCTTTTTTTCAATTATTAGTGTGTCTTATCATAAACAGACACCCACATTTCGGGTCTTTCCCCTTCCCCAGAAAACTCCCCTGGTGTAAGCCAAGCTCAGCCCAGCCCCTGGCCCCAGCACAGTGCAAGGAGGGGTAGGAGGACCAGAGGGATGCTCCCTGAAGAATATACATGCATTGTAGGCAGCCTATTACATTACTTGTTTTATGGCACATTCACTACCAAGAAGGTCAATCTGGTATAGATTAGAAAGAACTGCCTTTCCTCCTCAAGGTACAGGGAAGTTAACGTTGAAGGATGAAATTTACTTTCAAACCAAATGGCAGCACCAGCCCTTTCATTTTCCAGTCTGCTAAGGTCAATTTCGAATGTTTAAGTTGAGCTGTATTAGCTCAGAAGGCCAATAAAGATCCATTTGCAAGACTGTTTCTCCTGTAACATCAGGATCCTCAGCACAAGAAAGCATCTCCCACAGCATCTCAGCTGCAAGAGGCATTTCAACAACAGCTCAAATCATCCCATCTATTGCTG